TATATTATAAGTCCTGACCTCTGACCCAGAATTCATGTCCAGAGGATATTCCTCTGTAGCCTGTCAAACCGTCGAAACAGGGTCATGGCGTCGACCAAGCCTTGGTCCCCGACCATACATCAGTATATTCACCGAAAAGAACGAGAGTACCCTAGCCAAAACCACAGGGGCGCGGCATTGGTATCTGGGGCTGCCCCCTATACACGTCCAGGGCCAATGTGTCCATCCTGCGATCAGAGCTTTGCGGACCCGTGTGGTGAGTAAGTACGTTATAACCATCAGGTTGTTGTTTTCTTTATTTCATGTTATATATGCATGCTCTCATCCTCATATAAAATTAGATAATTCAAAAGAGAACAGTGTCGGTCCCCCTTTATACGTATGGTCAGTAAGTTTATTAGTGTCGGTCCCCCTTTATACGTATATGGTCAGTAAGTTTATCTGAAATATCTCTAGCCAATATTTTAATTTCATATTTCTAGTGTTCAAGGGCATGAAATCTACAGGTCATACAGTACAGTCCCCAGTGACACAGCAGTAAGCTTGAAGGATTATACGCTAAAAATCAGAGTTCGATACCCGTGGTAGGCACGACGCAGATCGCCCATTGTGTAAGTTTGTGCTTGAACATAAACAAACAAATAGTACCATACAAGTTATAGTCCCGTATCACTGACATAATGAAACTTGCATGTTAGGAGGAAAAGTTTCAATCAATTAAACGCTTCATAGCGACTTGAATTCCCAGGAAACTCGAGCTTTAGATACACTACAGAAAATCATATATTACAAATCAAACACAACTTTTAAAACGTCCTGAATTATTCAGCTACATGTGATTTTTGTGTTTTTTGCTTTATTGGTAGATATGAGGTTTTTAACGATATGCAACTTCATGATCGTAAAAGTTGAGATTGTGATAAAAATTTCCTACAACAATTGGACTGTCAAATATAAGATGCTTCGCGTCGGTAAGATAGGGTAAGATGGAAATTTTTACGTTCACTCCCTTAAAACGTGTCTCTCGGTGGGACAGCGGTAAGCTTAGGGACGTACCACGCTAAAATCCGGGGTTCGGTTCACACAGCAGATATTTCAATGTGGCTTTGCTTTAAAACAAACAGTCAAACAAATCCTTAATACGTTATAAATGACAATTAGTGTTTCAGTAAAATGTAGGACGAGTACTAAGCTAAAATGGGTGTAAATAAGATGAAATATTTTCAACCAGACTGTTTATAGTTAGTATTTGTGGATCAGCAACGTATTGTTTGTACTTCTGATGAAACTTGACGAATGAACTACCACCATGACAAGGTGAATACTTCAATTAAAAGTACAAAATTGGATGTATCAAGGTTGATTGGGAGATGATAATCTACTTTATAATTAGCGTTAGTTTTTTATTCATTGATCGCTTGTTTAGCCTTTCTCTAGATATTTTATTATGAATATTACACCCCACACATCACATAATATAACCCTTCATAGTGTGAATACAACCCATGATATAACCATTCATAGCGTGAACATAGTGCATAATACCACCCATTATAGCGTGAACATATGATACCACCCTTCATAGTGTGAACAAAACGTTAAACAACAACCTAAAGCGTGAATCTAACAAATAAAATAGCTGTAAATTTAATACAACTCTTCTTAAAAAAACATAACACGTTTTGCTAGCATGAACATAAAACGTAAAACCACCCTTCTTTGAAAGACACCCTCCAAAGTAAGGGTGTGATATATGAAAACACCCGTCTTTCAAGGATGTAACGCGTAAATTGAACATGCGTTAACACGGAAATATTAATATTGCACATATTTTGTTTGTTTCAAACTTAAATGCTGTCTGTGGAAGTAAAATATATTTCTTTTATAAAAAGCTGCCTATGAAAGAAAAATATATTTCTTTTATAAAAAGCTGCCTATGAAAGAAAAATATATTTCTTTTATAAAAAGCTGCCTATGAAAGAAAAATATATTTCTTTTATAAAAAGCTGCCTATGAAAGAAAAATGTATTTCTTTTATAAAAAGCTGCCTATGAAAGAAAAATGTATCTTTTATA